TGCCTCCCAAAGCAATGTATACATTTTATCTTGTTTATCATATTCATTTTCTAAGCACATTGCCTTTTTATGGGTAAAGTTAAACACCATTTTAAGTTCAGGTTCAGCCTGGATTCCAAATTTGTGTTGTCGCAACAAATGAGAACTTGTTTCTTCCTGGCAGATATGGTCTTCCCAGGCTGAATTAAAATATTAATGAAGTTCCTAGTAATAATTCTCTAAGAAAATTCCTGGTCTGACAGTCAAGAAGATGAAGTAATGAGTGTGTCTAGATCCCGTTTTTTTCATTCAGGTATTTTAATTTTCTGATTTTGAAAAAATTTTACATGGTCCTTAAATGTAGCAGTTCTTTAAGATGAAGTAAATTGCGCTGTATGTTTTTTTTCCCCTACAAGGCAAGTATTTGTCTGACTGAAGTGTATATACAGGCTATGTTTCAGGTAAATACTCTTCTTCAAACAGCAGTTTTTGCTTCACATCTCTTTCTAAAGCCACACTGATTTACCACTTTGAAGAAGGGTTTAGATATTTTTTTCCTGAATGGTTAAGAGAGCTCAATCCTGACTTTCTTCTCTGAAGTCCGTCTTGTGTCTTTCACACATTGAGAAGTTTAACTGAAGGCATCTGCATGGTAGACAGTACTTTTACAGACTGAATTCAATTTTTAAGCTGAACAAGCCACACATTTGACACTCAGGGATCAAGCTGAAGTATCTGTGTAGCTGATGATACTTCTTTTTAAGAAGTAGAAAGTCACTAGCTTATTTTTATCATATAAACACTATACATTCAGAAAAATAAGGAGGGAGAAAGCATCCATAGTCCCATCTTCCTGAGAGAATTGCTATGATCAATAGTTCTCAAGGGAGGGGTTGTAGTGGCAGGAATTGCCCCCAAAAGACATTTGGCAATGTCTGGGCACACTTTCGGTTGTTCCAGCCCCTGGTAGAGTGGTACTGGTATCTACCTGGTAGAGGCCAGGGATGCTGCCCAGCATTCTACAAAGGACAAGACAGCACCCCACCTCCTCCACAATAAAGACTCATCCACCCCAAAATGTGCATGCTGCCACTGTTGAAACATTTGATTTAGGTAGATTCTCTTCCCATCTGTGAAAGGTAGATTTTATTAGAAGTACATTAGATATTTCTTTGGGGAATTTTAGAGATGCTTTAGAATGGAATCCTGAGGCAGCATGATGGTGATGATGCTGATGACTACTTTGCTCTTGTCTTGAAAGTAAAAGGAAGTGTGTGTGTGTGTGTGTGTGTGTGTGTGTGTGTATGTAGGAGGGTGCAAGAGGCATAGAGTGACCGACCCTAGGAGAGACTGGATGGGTCAGTGTTTAGTGACAGCTATGGAAAACATGTTGTGATGACCAAATTGTGATTCTGCAAGTAGCCCCTCGAGACTGAGCCTACCTTCACCTGGAACTTTGTCCCCAAACAACAGAAATTTAGAGCCAAGAGGACCTTTTGCCAGGGACAGCAAATGAGTTTCACATGTCATGCCACGGCCAGCTGATGGGTGGGCTGCTTCGAGGGTCAAGTTAGGGAGGATCCCTAGGCTGAGTCTGGGCTCAGCGGGAAGGAACACTGCATTTGATGAGGGTGTTTGTTCCGGACATACAATTTGGAGAATACGTGCAAAGCATGTGGTTTCTATCTTTACCATTCCTTAATTCTAATGTAGTCTTTGAATTTTACACGTTTGAAACCGCCTTATTTGAGTCATCATGATCGAGGGCTTGGCCCTCAGACAGCAACTGGATATTCTTAGTTTCTGACTCAGGACTGTTCATTAAGGGATTCACCCTAAACAAACACCCACTGTTCAGATGTGTAAATTGATTGCCACATTATTCATTTCTTTTTGGAGGTAACCTTTTCTAGCTATCGGAATGAGTAAGTACCCTACATAGAACCACCTGTAGTTGTCCTCAATTCCCCAGATCGAGCCAAACAGAAGTCAAATGACTCATTCCAAAGCGATCCTTAATGAGGCACGTTGAATGCTCCTTTTATTATTTTTTTAAGAGAACATTCCTTTGAGCCTGATGCAATAGCACTGTATCACACGTCAAGATCTTCCTCGTATCTGTAATTCTTGAGTTTTTTGAATATACGTGGACAAAACATTATTTTGCTGATCTGCTTCTTTTTTTTTTTGGCTTGTTTGCTGACTCCTTTATCAATGACACAGCCTTCCTTTGGACGTATTATAATCTGTCACTAACTCTGTAGTAAATTCTCCTTTTCTGGTATCCTAGGTGGCAGTTATCTCCTACTGATTAATTTTATTAAAGAGTTTTAAATTCTCCAGAGGCACCTTGATATCTTATTTCTCATACGTGCATAAGAATCACTCTGTTAAAATGCAGATTCTAATTCTGTAGATGTGGTGGGGCCTGAGAGTGTGCATTTTAGTAAACTTCCAGGTGATACTGTCAGTTCAGGTGATGCCCACCTGGTGGATGGTCCGGACGATGCTGCTGGTTCAGTCCATGAACCACACTTTGAGGGGCAGGCATCTAGAGAAGGCGCTTTCCCGATACCCTACTTGCTCTCTCTTGACCTTACAGTTCTCTGATCTTCCTGAAAACTTCTTGTCCCAATACCTTCCCTCCGTGCAGCTGTTTGACATCTCAGTGGTAAGAAGGCAGGTGATTAGCTGTGTTTCTGTGGAGGAAAATCTGCCCACATGCATTCTGGCCCGAGGTGTCTCTTAAGCTGGTGGACTAAATATCAGGGCCAATACTTCTTCCAAGAATTCTGTCCCTTTCATTCTTTTCAATAAATATCCCACTTGCTACAACATACATGGAATGCTGCATAGTATTCAACAGCAGCTCCTTTTGCATTTTAAAACATAATTGGAAGTCAGGTCATGATTGAATTTTTAAAACCTCAAAGGATTCTTTCACACACACCACCCCTTCTTCCTTTTAGTGCTTTGCCCTGCTGTCTGCAAACAGGGCGGTGCTGGGGCTTCTACTCTGCAAACTGTAATCACATGATAAGCCCAAACCAGCTACCAACCAATTGACTGAATCTTGCAAGTTTATTGAAGCACAGATTGGATGATTTACACACTGCATGTTCACCCAATGCCCAGACACAGGATAGGACCACAGCAAATATTTTGTTAATGCTTACTTGGTTTATAAATTAAAAAAAAAAACAAAACTTTTTTTTTAAGGAATTGGCACCCAATAACAAAAATACTGAGCCACCTATGGATTTTCCTTTTAAAGTTTTACAAAGTTTTCACGCACTAAATTAATGTTACCTGACAATAATTTTACATATTTGTCAGTACTACCCAACATCAATAATATTATTTAGTTCTTCTTCCAAGCTTTATCTTAATTGAAAGGGAGCCCTAGTCAATAACAGTGTATTTCAAAAGTGACCAATTATTGGTGGTTCCCATACGTGCCCAAAACCTCAGGCAATATTTTAAACGAAAGTTTAAATTAAAGCAAGATGTCATCAAAATGCAGAAAACTGACTCAATTCAAAAACAAGCCATTTCAATAAAAGAAGCAAACTCTCTTTGGAACTGATACCTGTAGGAAAATTTCATATTAAGGCCAAAAGCAGAACCAAGCCCATCTTGATTTGCTGAGCATTTATTTATTGTGGGAAGATAATAATAGAAACTGTGTATGGGCTCTAATCCTGGTGCTTGCTTTGTAGGATATCCAGATGGCTTCTCTTTAGCCTGTGCCCACATTTCCTGCTGATCCTGGGAGAAGGGAAATGGGTCTCCTGCCTGTACAAATAAAATGGACGCTATTTTTTACTTCTGTTTCATTGTGTAGGGAGTGTTTTGCACAGATGCCACAATATCACTTTGTCCAGCAAACAGAAGAGTGTGTCCAGAACTGGTGAGAAGCCACATTCTTCCTCCCACTGGAAGTGTTCTCTGTGATGCCCCGTGTGAAGCTGTCGGGGCCCAGCCCGGCCCAGAAATGAGCTTGCCTCCTTGTGCTGTTTAAAAAGCACATGCAGGATTCATAAAAAGTCCGCAAGGAGTTTTCTTCATCCCCTTGGGATGAGGGGTAAAAAGAAAAAGTATTGGCCGTCTTTTCTGATTGGGGGCAACCCACACATATAAAGATGAACTAGTATTATAAGTGCTGCAAACAAACAAACAAACAAACAAACCAAAAACCCCACATATTCCCTGCTAGTTTCAAACGTTTTTTCCTATTGTATACTTTAAAATTGTAAATTTTATGTTAAGTATGTCTTACCATGATTAAGAAAAGATTTTCTCTAGATGTTTTCTCACCTGCTGAGTAGTTTTTTTTAACCTGAGAAGTGAGTTCTTTTAAGAGCTTCTCCCTCAGGGTGACCCTCAGGGGGATTGATGGTGCCAAATTTCACATGGTTACTCATTTTTTCCATTTTTTTGAAGACTGAAAACATTGGGGCAACAAACAATTCCACTTCTAGATATATAACTGAGAAAAATGAAAACTAGGTCCTTATAATCCTGTGTGCGTACTAGCTAAAAAGTGGAAACAACCGACCCAAATGTCCATCACCTGATAAGGAGATATGTGGAGATATGTGAACTGCAGTCTAATTCAATGTAGTGAAGTTCTGACACATGGAGCAACATGAAAACATGCTACGTGGAAGAAGCCAGTCACGAAAGGTCACATTTGTATGAGTTCATTTATATGAAATCTCTAAAAGTGGTAGCTCTATAGAGACAAAAATTAGATCGGTGGCTGTTCGGGGCCAGGATGGGGTGAGGGGAGGGACTTGAGAATTAGGGGGTGATATCTAAGGGGTCCTGGGTTTTTTTCTTTGAAGTAATGAAAATGTACTAAAATGGACTGTGGTTGTGGTTGCACAGCTGTGTGGCTACATTAAAAACCAGACTGTAAGTGGGTGACTTGTACAGAATGTGAACCTTGGTGCATTTCCCGAGATTTCACCAAGCGGACAATGACCATGCTGGGTTTTTAACAACACCGTCTTTTTCAGGGTGCAAAGTACCACATTACTATCATCTCCCTGTGAGTGGGATTGGCAGCCCAGCTGTCCCTCCTGGCGCAAGTGCTCCCCGAAACCCAGGCTCGTGCCGGCAGACAGCCTGCTTTACCAGGTACTTGACTTTGTCTCTGGTTACTGGCTTTTCTCCACTAATAGTTTGATATGAACTTCGTCACATCCTGGAAGTCAAGGCCACCATTTTCTATGTTGCTGATAGAAATTGTTTAATATCAAAGAAAATTTAATTGCAATGGCCTATTTCCCAAAGAACAGAAAGATCTTAAGTGCATTTCTGATCTGAATTGATGGGTAACTTCAGGCAAATGCCAACTGAGGTTCTTCTTGGCTAAAGCATGTAAGTCCAATTCCCGTGGTTCAGAATAAATGCCTAGCAAGGTATTTTGTTTTCTGGGGTTATAGGTCATTCTGGTAGGTCACATTTTTCTAGTATCTTTGAGGTAGCAGAATTATATAACAGTGGTAAGCACCTTGCTGAAAATAAAAAAAGACATCAGTCACACTGGCTTCTGAAGATTAATTACATGCAGGCTTTTAGCAAAAGAGCTGAATATTATCTATTTACTGATTCCATTTTAAGAACGAATTAAATGAGATTTACAAGGTATTAAATTTTATTTAGACAGATGCTGGGATGTATTTGTTCTTAGTTACACTTTAACCCCGATTATAGGCCAGTCCATGACTGGCTGGAAGGGGGTTGAAATTTTTTTCATCTGCTTGTTTCATAATTCCTGTCTGTTGAAGCTTGAGGACCCTGCTGGGGTGGGTTCCAGCTGCATGTCAGCACTGGAGTTTAGTGGAGTGTGAATGTCAGATAGCTGTTCAAATCCCAGTGTTCCTGCTCTCTGATTGTGTGATCTTGGGCACGTTGTAATGTCTCTGAGTCCCACATCCTTCGTCTGTAAAAAGGGAGTGTTAACGTGATGCTGAGTGAGTTAACATACAGCAAGCACTGGGCACACACCAAGGCCTTTCTTGGAGTTTGTCTGTCCAAATGGGGACACAGGAGTGGGGAAGTCCTCCGTTTCCACTGAACTGACAGGACTGGGGGAGGATATTTTTTTACTGAGATGTTCTGTAGGGAGCTCTTAAAGGTTCTAAACATAAGAAGACAGATGGTTGCCTAGACCTCAGAAGTGGTTTTCCTGAAAGTAGATTTCTGGGTAGGATCTGTTGCTTTAGTCAAATGAGCTGGAGGGAAGACATGGAGTATAGCAAAGGGGGCTTGGAGCTGGTATTACCTCTGGAGGGAAGGCTCGTTCTGACTCAGGCAAGCCCCTCTGATAAATACCTCTTGGTTCTGATTCCCTATACTTGTGAACACATTCCCTTTAAGATCAGTCTGGTTTCCCAAATCCGTACCTTACTCCAAAGCTCCTTCGAATGTAAACACTGAAGCTTGGCTTTCTGGGGTGAATCAGCCCCAGGAGAGCTTGGGTGGTGAGGTTTTTCAGACACAGCCGTACTTTCAGATGCAGCAAACATTTATTGAGAGCATTTTATTTGCCAGGCACTGGGCAAGGTGCGTACATGCACCTTGTTTATCCTTAGAACATCCCTAAGACGCTCTTACCAGCTCCCTAAATAAGGAAACTGAGATTCAAAGATTTTAAATGGTTTCCCCAAGACTGCACAGCCTCTGATTCCCAAGTTGAGTGAGATTCCTAAAATAGTAGCTGGTTTCCATACTAACTCTGTACAGCTTGATGGCTTAACTCCTAACCTCAGATAGTAAACAGGTTTTTTTCAAGGGCCAGTTCTGATCAATTGAGAGTGGCTGCCTGGGTTCAAGATTCCTGGGTGCTGTCCTCATTGGTTGAGCAGGAATGTTGTGATCCATTAGCAATGTCTGGCATGGCAGTAGAGGAGGGTATCTGTAGAACCTGCCCTGAACCTGAGGTTTCCGATCACCAAATTCTAGGTGCTTTGCCCCCCTTTACAGTCTTGGCGTCTGTGGAGAGCACTGTTTGCCTGGCACTTGTTTCTTTGTACTTTAAGGGGCTTTGATGTTTACTTTTCTGATGTGGCAAAGTCATCCCTGCCTGTTTGCCTTCAGGAAGGATGCTAAGAGTCTGGACAGAGCCGCATTTCCTAGACACGGATTCTCATTGTTAGGCAATTTAGATATCTTAGAGTTATCACCGACTCACCCTGTAATATGGGCTTAGAAAAGTGAGTTGAGGGTGTAACTCCGTGGTAGAGGGCACACTTAGCATGCCCGAGGTCCTCAGTTCAATCCCCATTACCTTGGTTAAAATAAATAAAATAGATAAACCCAATATACCTCTCCCTCAACAACAACAACAAAACAAAACCAAGGGAAAGAAAGTGAGTTGAGGGTGAAAGTTAAAAACTTACTTCTGTCCCTGGGAGCCCCCCTGCAGTCCCCTCCCCGCTGGGGGCTCCTCACCTATAGGCATGCCTGGGAGGCTCACACCAGCTGCCCAACCTCTTCCTGTGGAATTGGAGAGACTCAGAGCTCTCAAACTTAGGTGCATCAAAATCACCTGGAGGGCCTGTTAAAGATTTCCTGGGTCCCGCCCCCTCCAGGTGTGGCTTCAGTCTGGGGTGAGGCCCAGGAATTTGCATTTCTAACAGCTGGTTTCTAAGCCACACTTTGAAAACCACTAACCTGGACAGTACTTTTAACAGCTGCTGTAAAGCGTGGGCTTGTTTATAGCTGGTATGTGTGCCCGGTTCTCTACCTGCGGTGAAGGGATTCTTTCCCCAAGTATTTAATGAGCACCTCACACAGCACCACCCGAGGGAAATTTAGAGGAACCCAAAGGCTCATCCGTGGGGGACCTGGGAGTCTAATTTGGGATCAGTAATTGCATTGCTGTGTGGAAAGGGCTGCACTTACCCCTTACTGTGGATGCGAGCAGAAGGCCTGAGGCAGTGATTAAATGAGGGGAGGCCTCCTGGAGAGGGTGATATTTGAAAGGAACCTGAGGGGGAAAGATTGTTGGCCAGGTGTGCAAAGAGGAAAAAAGACATGCAGGGAGCAAAGACTGCGCATCAGAGGGCCTGGAGATGCTGCACTGGGTGAGAGGAAAAGTTTTTTGTGGTGAGAATTTCATTGTAATTCCTAAGTGAAGTGAAGTATCAATGTACAGTAGTAAAGACGAAGGCTTTGTGTTCCTTTGGGTGCTCACTGTCGTGTACTTGGTCTGTGCTGACGTCTTACCTGCGTTGTCTTCCTTTACTTCTTATCCCCACCCTCCGAGGTGTAGGGCCAACTCTAATCTCGAGTTGTGTGAGTTTCCTAGGGCTGCACCGCACACTGGGTGGTGTAAACAACAGAAATGCATTGGCTGTCAGTCCTGGAGGCTGGAAGTCTGAAATCAAGCTATTGGCAGGGCTGGTTCCTTCTGAGGGTTATGAGGGAAGGACCTATTCCAGGCCTCTCTGCATAGCTCGTACACGGCCTTCTTCCTTCCTGTGTGTGTCTATCTCCATGTCCAAATTTGCCCTTTTTATTAGGTCACCAGCCACACTGGATTAGGCCCACCCTGAAGACCTCAGTTTAACTTGGTTATCTCTGTAAAGACCCTATCTCTAAGGACGGCCACATTCTGAGGTAATGAGGGTTAAAGCTTCCTCATGTGAATTTTGAGGAGACATGATACAACTCTCTATACCGTTTTACAGATGAAGAAATGGCAGCTTGGAGGGTTTAAAGAAGCTGACCAAGTCATACAGGCATTAGGTCAGACCATGTAAAGTTTCCATTTTTCCAGATCAGGAACCACTGAATAGTGGCCATGTCGTGTATTAAACCTAAGAAGCAGCAGAGCTGGGGCTTGTTGGAACCCGGGTATGTCTGGTCCATCGTTGTAGCTCTTTCCCCACGAGCTTCTCTTGGTTTACTGGCTTCTTCGTTTCTGCCCTGTTTCCTTGTGGTTCACTGAGAAAAGCAGTGGTGTGGAGGTCAGGTCACCAGGCTGCCAACCTGTTTGTTTCTGGAGAAGATACTCTCCTATTTCAGTTGTCTATCCTATCCGCTTAAAGAGACTGGTGGAAAATTATTAGAATGTATGAAACTTAAAATTCGTGGAAGAAAGAGGGTGTATTTTCAAGATGATGTGCTCTTTTGCTATTAAAACGTTAATTACCTATAAATACACAGGCTATCTGAGTATAGATGTCCTATTCTTGTTTGTTTTGTCTTTTTTTTGGAGGGGTAATTAGGTTTTATTTATTTATTCATTTTAGTGGAGGTACTGGGGATTGAACCCAGGACCTGGTACATGCTAAGCATGTGCTCTACCACTGAACCATACCTTCCCCCGAAAGATGTCCTACTGTTAATTTCCATCTCAAACCAGCCTAAATGTTTGTAAGCAATGTGTTAGTCCTGCGCTAGTATTATGAGTACATTTCCTTGGAATTATTTCAGCATTCAGGGATGTAAGTACCTTGATTGTCTAGCCATAGAGATTTCTATGTAGTTCTGTCAGTACTCACACAGTAATTCCATATTTTCTTCCTTAAATATTTAAAATGAAAGAGCATTGCTTCAGATACTTATATACAAAGGCTTTATTATTGTAGCAATTCAAGTAAATTTTCATCATAAGAAATTGGTATACCATTTTAAGTGGAAGGAAAGTAAAAATAGGAAGTGTTTATTCTTACTTCCTAATGCTTTATTTGTAGTCTCACGTGTTTTCCAAACAAGAATTAGAGTGTATGGTTTATTCATGAAATCAACAAGACAGCGGTGGCCATTGGCCTATCTCTGGAAATCTGAGATGTCTGGACATTTTAAGCACAGCACATAGATGAGTAAGAGTCAATCTAGGTTCTGAAACATACATTTAATTATACTCCTGCGTGTTTTAGAGAATTCAGAACCTAAGAATTAAAAGATGACTAGGGGCTTCCTAACCCAGAGCCACCCCCCCCACCCCGGCTTTTCAGACACGCTTCTTACAAGGAATCTTTGTACTTACCATCTTTTTTCCTCCCCACTACCTGCTTTTCTCTTCAGCACTTCCTCCTCCACCTATTCAGGCCAATTAGGGATCCACTAACTGGTTTCAGGCACCCTCTGGGCTAGGCACAGCACTGCCTGAGGGAATTTTCATG